TATCTTGTTCCTTTGAAAGGTCAGTTGTTAAATCCGGAGCTCAAACTGCCTTCCTGCTTCCCACGTTCCAGCCCAGAGGTGGAAGGAGATCAAGGGCCGTAGTCCAGCCGGAGATACCGTCTCCTTATTGAAGAGCGGCACATTTTCAGAGAGAAGAAAAGCAGCCGTACAAGGATCTCAGAAAGGTGATGGGGGGAAAAACTGATCCCTTTGAAAACTGGTGCTGCAGGAGAGCTTGGTGGATCCCCTGGATGTGCCAGAAAGACAAACAAGTGGGTCCTGGAACAAATCAAGCCTGAACTGTATCTGGCGGCAAAGATGCTGAAACGGAGGCTGGCCTGGAGAGGGCTTGTTCATAAGGTCACCATAAGTTGGAAGCAGTTTGACGGCAGATAAGAGCATCAGCAACAACAATGGAAAAAGTTACCTTTAAGACAGAAAAACCCCAAACCCTCTTTCTGACTAACAGGAAGGTGTGTGCCAGGGAGGGGGACACACGGTTGAAGGAGAGTCAGGAGACCTAGTTCCGTAAAAAAGGAAAGAAAAGAAAGGACAGTTGGGAAGAAGGAGGTGATAAACGCCCCGGAGAATACCAGAGGTCTGGTAGATCAGCATTTCCTGGTTTTGAAAAGGACAGGGCAGCCTTTACTGACCCCTACTCCCTAATCCCTTCTGACAGTTGGTAGGGAGAGGAGCCAAGAGATGAGACTTGGAGGATGCCTGGCTAACAGAAAACCCTACATTGGGTGCGCCTTGATGGGAGGTTGGCACGTCTTTGGATCGAAGTCCGAGTCGAGTCTTTGGTACCGAGTCTCAAGTCCCGATTAAAAGCAAGCTGGGAAAGGTGGAAGGCAGCAGGAGAAGAGGAAGACCCAAATGTGCGATGGAATGATTCCCTAAAGGAAACCTTGGGCTTGTATTTGCAAGAGCTGAGCAGGGCTACTGAGGAGAGGCCCTTTTGGAGATGGCTCCTTCATAGGGCCACCATGAGTCGGAGGCAACACGACGGCACTGAACAACGACAACAGAAGTAGCTTGACACTAAAACAGCCAAGCTACACCTTATGGAGGAAACATGGAGTTCCTAGCCCAGTTTTCTCTTGCCACATTCATATCGGTGCTTTGGTGGCATTACTTAGCAAGGTGTGTTGGCTAGCAAAGAGCCCTCCCATCGTCTACTGGATATCCCTCTCCAGGCAATGTTCAACTTGTCTTCCATCAGCCGCCCTAGTTGGTCAAGAAGGGCCAGGTTTTCCAGGAAGGGAGATCACCCTGGAGAGAATTGGCAAGCTCGGGGGCAGTAGCTGATGCCCATCCTGTTTCCCACCGCTTCTCCTCACGAGCGCCCACCACCCCTTGTCCGGTGGTGGCCCAAAAACAACCACCTGCCCGTGGTGAAGCAGCCCATGGCACCGTTCCTTGCAGAGTCAAGGGAGAACGCCCAATTCACCAGAGAATCTTTCAAGTGCCGTTCCCTCTTCCGAGCAATTAAAAAAATGCCCCCCCCAAAAAAAGAATGAATGAAAGGACAAAAAATTTGGAAGCTTTTCATGACGCATCCCACCTCGGAAGCGGGAGGATCGGTCTTGCCGTTCTCTTGGCATACGTGGAGCGAACGTCAGGGTCAAAACTCATTTACGGGCCCCGGAGGGTTCAGGCACCTTTCAAGGCCCATTAAAGAATAAAGAAAGGAGTTTTTGAGAACTTTTCGGCAATTAGAACCTTTTGGAGGAAAGGGGGCTGCTGTTTTGCCTTTTCCTCTCCTCGTACGTCTGCAATGGAGTTCTAGTAAGTATGTTCCCGAAATAGATCCTTCTGGGTGGATCTGGCCCGCCTTTTCTCTCCAATTCCCTGTTCTCCATGCCTTGATCAACACTCGTGCACACATCATCTCAGGCGTAATACCCTTGTTCAAAATGTCAAGCTGTTTGAACACAGACTTTTCTCTCCCCTCCCCCCCCCCGTCTCCCCATGTGAAATGTCTTGCCCAGTGTTTGCGGCTGCTTCTCTCTTATTTTATTTTAATTTTTTTCGCTCCATTTCATTCTCTCTCTTGTCTGCTTCCTGTTTGATTCCGCAAAGCGCCATTGAAAGGAGCCGGTGACCTTTTCTGTGCCTTTTCTTTTTTTGTTTTTGAGACGGTCCTCTCTCGCCTCTATGAAGCGCTTTGTCCTTGTGGAAGGAAGGGTGGAGCAATTGGTGTCGGAAAGTGAGACTTGAAAGAAAGAAAGAAAGAAAGAAAGAAAGAAAGAAAGAAAGAAAGGAAAAAGGAAGGAAAAAAGGAAGGAAGGAAGGAAGCTTGAAAGAAAGAAAGAAAGAAAGAAAGAAAGAAAGAAAGAAAGAAAGGAAAAAGGAAGGAAAAAGAAAGAAAAAGAAAGAAGCAAAAGAAATAGGGAGAAAGAAAAAGACAGGCAGAAAGAAAAACTGCTGTTGACTTGGGTTTGGCATAATTAAAAATAATGTAAAATAAGGTGACTATGGAAGAATGGATTTTTTTATTTTGGGGGGGAATGGGAAGTGTGTATTTTGGCTCGAAAATGAGGTAAAATATTCTTCTGTCAGAGGGTTGTTTATTTTAAATCACATGTGAAATGGATTTGTTTCAATTGTTTTGACAAATGTAAACCACTTTGTCAGTTTAAATTGCATCTTTGGGTTACCAGCAAGCAGCGAGAACAGGGCTGTAGAGGAGGAGGAGGACCAGCGGCTGTAGAGGCAGGATGAGGAGAAACAGTGGGAGAGGTAGCAGCAGGAACAAGAGCCGCAGCCAGGGGAAGGAAGGGAGGAAGGGATGGATGGATGCAAGGAACCTGAGAGGAAGGGGAGGATATGGGGCCCACTCAGGGGGCCACGGTGCAGAGCAGGCAGCTGTCAGCACAGCAAAAGCAACCAGAGGAGGTCACCCCCCCGGTCTCCCCATGTGAAATGTCCTGCCCAGTGTTTGCGGCTGCTTCTCTCTTATTTTATTTTAATTTTTTTCGCTCCATTTCATTCTCTCTCTTGTCTGCTTCCTGTTTGATTCCGCAAAGCGCCATTGAAAGGAGCCGGTGACCTTTTCTGTGCCTTTTCTTTTTTTGTTTTTGAGACGGTCCTCTCTCGCCTCTATGAAGCGCTTTGTCCTTGTGGAAGGAAGGGTGGAGCAATTGGTGTCGGAAAGTGAGACTTGAAAGAAAGAAAGAAAGAAAGAAAGAAAGAAAGAAAGAAAGAAAGGAAAAAGGAAGGAAAAAGAAAGAAAAAGAAAGAAGCAAAAGAAATAGGGAGAAAGAAAAAGACAGGCAGAAAGAAAAAGGAAGGAAAAGAAAAGAAAGAAAGGGAAAGGGAGAGAAGGAAGGAAGGGAGGAAGGAAGGGAGGGAGGGAGGAAGGAAGGAAGGAAGGAAGGAAGGAAGGAAGGAAGGCGCTGATGAAGGAAGGGAAGGAAGGAAGGAAGGAAGGAAGGAAGGAAGGAAACGAGTGAGAAAGAAAGAAAGCAGAAAAGGGAAGGAAGGAAATAAAGAAAGATAGACAGATAGAGAAACAGAAAGAAAAAAGGAGGAAAAAGAAAGAACTGGAGAGGGAGA